ATATAAAATCTGTAGAAACCATCGACGTGGATTTTTTGTCAGTATCTATCAAAAGAATTTTTAGAATACAGTGTGCAGGAGTTTGAAAAAATATTCAAATGTTAAGACAACTTGATATAAGTCATTGTGCAGAAGTTGGAGAACTACGTTCGATATGTGAGGAGATATTTCACAATAAGTTGCGCCATACTGTTTTGACCGCACTGTAATAAGTCCTGCCTAGCGTACTTGAGAAACGAACTCGGGTCTCCTGCATGCGACAGCAAAGTGCCGAACCGCTACACCACAAACGCCAGTAAGTTTTTACTTCGAACGTGCCATACATCTATTGACCGTGCATATCCAAGAACAAAAGATAATCAATGTATCAAGGGAAGTAATTCATACATAGCCTACAATTATTACAAAGAGGTTATTTCTCTTTGGACTATCCCGATTTTTATTCGCGGTTAGGACCATAATTTATCAATAACGAACAATTATTCCGTTTATTATAAGGCTATAAATCTCCATTCCCTCACTCACAACACCACCTAAACACGGAGCATGAAGCGTAACTTTAGTTTTCTTTCTTAGAACTAATTTGTGCAATTTCAAAAGTATTCCTGCGTTAATAGGCCTACTATCATCATCATCCAGTGCCAGATCTGCGACAGACATCGGCGATCATGGTTTTCCATTCATTTATTTGCTTGGATGCTCTAAAGAAAAGCAACGTTTCCCTGATTTTTCCCTGTTACCCATTTGTTTAGGTTCCCTAAGTATGTTGTTCTGGGCCTACCCCTGCCTCACTTGCCCTCAATTTTGCCAGTGAGAGCTAGATGTTCAAGACCCTTATGTCTATTCAGGTGTCCCAAAAACTGCATTTGTCGTTTCCTGATTGTTTTTAACATTGAGCGTCCCACGTGGACTTCATCGAACACTACTAATTTGACTGTCGGCAAGTTTTGAGGAGAATACTTTTATTATTATGCTCTTTTCCTTTACGCGCTCCTCTGACATCATACAACTGCGAGCTGGGTCTCTCTCTCTCTCTCTCTCTCTCTCTCCCTCTCTCTCTCTCTCTCTCTCTCTCTCTCTCTCTCTCTCTCTCTCTCTCTCTCTCCCTCTCCCTCTCTCTCTCTCTCTTTGTCCCCGCTTCATCTCCCCCCCCCCCATCATCCCCCCCCCCCAACCTAATTCTGCAGCAAGCACCATTGACAGTAGGCATAACTCTGAATAATAATAATAATAATAATAATAATAATAATGATAATAATAATAAAAATAATAATAATGATAATAATAATAATAATAATAATAATAATAATAATAATAATAATAATAATAATAATAATAATAATAATAATAATAATAATGATAATAATAATAACATGTCTACAGAAGTCCCTGGAATAGAACCTGACCCTGTGGCTCTCGTGGCCTACAGGTTAATTAAGGTGTTGGCCTCTCATTCAGAGGTCCCGGGTTCGAATCCGAGTAGCGACCGACACATTTTCTTCTCTTAAACTGTCTCCTTTCACATCCTTTCCTGCCCTCTAGCAATGTTCTGTCGCTTGTTTTCGACTCCTCTTCCTACCCCTACCCCTTCACCTCCTTTGCCCCCTCCTCTGGGCTCCTAACTCTTCTTGCAGCCTTTCTACTGCTACTCCTTGGCTCCTTCTTACTGCTGTCTTTCAGCTACACCCCTGATCTTCTGGTAAGAAAGATGTACACCTAGCCTTCTCTGACAACGGCGAAAAACCTCGGAGGGCTCATGTGCAAGTTGCGCACGTTAAAGATCCCTGGTGGTCTAAAATCGATAAGAGTAGGCTTCGGCGGCCACCGGAGAAAAAATCAAAATTTCCTACCAACTGACAAAGTTTAGTGTGTTCCGCGCTCTCATAGTATGACCTAATGCAGTGTACACACACACACACACGCGCGCGGGCGCGCACACACACATACACACACAATATACGAAACAAACTAAAACAAAAATTAACTGACCCCCCAAAAAGTAGCAGATATAATATAATGTAGAATCTAAGTGGAAAAGGAAAACAACTGATGATCAGAACATCAACTTATTAACTTACATGCTTCAAAGGAAAGAATAAGAAATTATGTTGATGGGCATGGGGTGAATATTTTTGAGAAAGAAGGGCATCAATACATAAGAACGCCACTTAAAATCTACAATTTTATGAAACCGTAATTGTTCACAGAAAAATACAAACAACACAAGATGACAGTTTGCTAAATAAATTTATTTCCATCTTTTCTTTTTCTTTTTTTTTTCCCAAAGAGGTGGGGGTTGAAATAAATGTTTTACCGACCAAAAATATAACATAGCACTCAATATCGATTGTTGACATTCATGGACAGGGCACCATGAAAAACTTATTTTGGCATGACACGCTCAGCATAAGTAGGTCACACACCTTAAGAAAGCCTCGATTTCAACCAAGCGGTTTCAGGAAGAAACTTTTTCATTAGGCTACACACACACAGTGCGACACATCCAACATGGCGTTTCCAAATATGGGCGCCTTTACCATGTTGTCGTTGGTTGTTTTGATAACTCTATTTCATGGCGCATACGGTAAGTTACTGCAAAGGAAGGATATTTTTAGACAAGAAAAGGGGGGAAAAGATAGGAATATCGAGTGAAAAGAATGGGTGTGTCGAAATGCTGGACATGACCCTCTTTAGTCCCAAACCCGGAAATGGGTCCCTTCATTTTAGTAGGCCTTCTGCCTACCTGTGTGTGTCGCTTATCTCCTGTGAGGGTCAGGAATGTGAAAATGAAAGGAGTCTTTGACACCCATGTCTTCTTATCTCTCATAGCAGGCCTTGGGTTTCAGTTCTTTGAATGAAGGGATGAATATCCACTTTTGTGCACTTATCTTTCTTTTTTGGGGTGAGGGCATAAAGAGCATTTCAAGAGGCTATGAATATGATTGCTCAACACAAAATAATAAATTATCAAACAACGTCATGTTCTAATTTAAGTCAAGATGACTTGTGACTAGACACTGTGACTAGAACTTGATAAGTGGTAGTTTTAGGGTTTTTATTTATAATGATAGCGTCAATTGCCACTGAGTGAAGCACAAGTCTGAAAACAATGCTCCATCTTTAGCTTTCTATGTGTTACGAACACATGAGAATAAGTTATATCTAGATCTAGATCTAACCCCCTCTCATAGGTTGATAAAAGTCATAACGAGTAGTTACACACATTTCGGGGTTCGAAAGGAAATAGTATAGGATAGGTCAATTTCTGGATGTTTTTCACTCAAATTCCTCTTTTTACCTGCACCATGGTATTCAAAATGATCTAATCTAGATTATAAATTTTTTTTTGGAAAAGGCTAGCCGTACTTAATGACGGCTAGACTGACAGTCTAGCCGTACTTAAGTACGGCTAGACTCGCAGTCTAGCCGTACTTATTCTTAATAATATGATGGCTAGACTGACCATTTACTAAAAATAGGCCTACTGTATTGTAAATATACATTTTTAGTGTGCAGGACCTAAAGTATTTTTGTATTTGAGATGAAACCAGGTGCCTTAATGACAGTGCATGTATTTTAAACCTCCTGTTTTCTAATGTTAATAGGGCTAGCCACTTCGCTTTTTTTTATCAGGTTATATCATTTGGCATAAATTCAAGCTCATTTGAAAGATTTTGTACTGTACAGTAAAAATGGAAGTCTTGTTTCTTGGCTATACTTTCGAGCTCCTCATCATGTCTAAGTCGGTCAATTTGTTCTTTAATTTCATTGGACGAACCTCTAGAGCTACATGTACCAACTTCAACTTGGCGTGTTTTGAATGAGACGTAGGCTAGCCGCCTACGCTTCGGTGTAGTACCAACACAGGCGATTCTTTAAAAGAAGGCTGCAAACTAAACTCTAAACGCACACAAACTCCAGCAGAAATAGGCCTACGCTTATATAAATATCAGGGAACATAAATTTTCATAAATCCGGTGGACGGGCGTTAGGAAGAGAAACCCCCCCCCCCCCCCCCCCCCCCCCCCACACACACAGGGACAGAGGCGTGCGTAACGGAAGTTCACGAATGTAGAGCACACTTAGGTTAGATATACTCACCAACACAAAAGGGCTCCAATTTACTCTTGCGTCAATTGTCACCGAGTCACTCGGTGGCAATCGACACTATTTATCAGGCTGTTTTTCTTGGAATAAAGCATTTATATATTTTGTACTCTCTACAAATGAAAAGAAGACTCCTTGCAGTTGCAGTATGAGTGAAGGTGGAAATGGGCTTTACTTTCCTCACAATTGACAAGAGCTTTTGATTCCTCCGCCTCAGGACACATCTCTTTATTTCCTTTAAATCAACTCTCCACTCTTCACAATGAACATTCACTTCCAATCATGTTCTTTAAAATGTATCTGCAATTTCTTGACATCATTTTGTCAGGCAGCACATTACTTTTGAGTGAAACTCATGGAAATGCCTGATTTCTGAGTCAGTATTATAATCATAATGATGTAGACACTTACAAAAAAACTTCCTCTCCAAATTGGTATGAAGCCAGACTGAAAAAAAGTTGGAAATTAACTACAGGTGCTAGCATAGTGGTTTTAGTGTGCTGTAAAGACTTCATTCTAAACACAATGCATTCTAAAACATGAAGCTTTCAAAATGGGCATTTGATTTTAAGCTTTTAGTTCATAGTTTTGTTAATCCAAAACTTTTGTTTAGAAGACCAAAAAATACAGGACCTGTCAATGTCAGGACCCATACATTGTGATCTGAAATGTAAGACTGCATATTTTGTGAGCATTCCTTATCAACATGTATGATAACTGAAATATGAACCGAAAGTCATATAATTTCAAGTCTGACTTTCTCACTCGCAGCTTGACACTTGACATTGTGTTGGGTGCAAATGCTGTGCCGGTTTTAGAAGCCTGAGTCATTATTGGAATCTGGGGAAAAAGAAAGAAAGGCAAAATTAATGAGAGTGATCAATTGTTATGAAATGTACAAATACTGTATTTCAAACTTTTTTTTTTTTTGTTGCATGCGACTTGAAATCGCAAAATTTATGAATTTAAGTCGTTCATGCAATGTAATTTTAGTTAAAAGGCGTGCTACTGCATTACTGGAATTTATGACACGCGGTGATTCAATGGTGAATTCATAACTGTCTTGAAAAATTGAAATGGGCAAAAAAAGTGAGAAAAGAAAGCTCGTTAAAAAAAACCTGGTGCACAGTACCTGGCAGCATCACACTGTTTTCTATATAAATCTGTGAAAATGCTTTTTGGCAAATATCAGCAGGTCTATATTGTAAACTTTAAAAAAATTATATTTTAACAGATCGTATATTATTTTAACTTTTCTTTATAAAACACATTATTTTTTTTCCTTTTTGTAACGGAATTAGTTTTGCATCACAGCTGTTTGTTTAATAATAGATGGTATAGCATTTGTATAGGGCAAATTCCAGTTCATGAACGATGCTCTCTATGCGCTTTATAATCTGTATTAAATTACCCCTGCAGGCCTGCTGTTAGCATTCTGAAACAGTCTCAACTTCCTGGGAATCATACAGTAGTGCAAGCAGGTGCATGCCATTTTATAAGCCTATACTATAACACTAATTAACATACTAACAAAGATATTATTATATATATATATATACCCTGACTTTTATTTTTCTTCTGTGTTCAGGACAAGCATGCACATTCCACGAGTCTCACCACGGCGATTGGTACTCTATGGAAGTGGGTCGCGACACGTTCACGCTGGTGTCGGAGGAAAAGTGGGGGGACTACACGTGTGTGAGGAAGCACGAGCACCCCAGCCAAGTCGCTAATGAGTTTCAGAAAGGCATCAATGTCACTATGCTGATCAAAGAATCTGAGTATGTATTGTACTGTCCCCGTGGTTTTATGCAAAAAAAATTCTGAAATTATGCAAACTGAGCCCAAAAATGTGAAATTATGCGATTCTGTTAATTTTAACAAAGAATGATTTAAAAGGAAAATAATCAGAAATGATGCAAAAATTGATCAAATTTTGCTTAATTCTACGGGGTGCATAAACCCCCGGGGACAGATTGTATATTTATTTTTTTAAAACTTTTTTGACTTTTAATATTTTAAAACAATTTTTACTCTGTGATCCTAGTATTTTGTTGTTTTATTAAATTTCAATCCTAAAATCGCAATTTTTCTGTGCTCCTTCTTTTGAATAGTATTTTTTGTTTCATTTATGGTGACCTTAGAATTCACGGGGTTAAACCATGTCACATTAGATTGTCACTACAATAATTGTTTCTTTATAGATTTCATGTTTTATAATCAGATTAAAAATACTGTTTTGTTTAATTTCATTTGCAGTGACTTGATGACTAAGAAAATCTCCTTTTTAAAAAATTATAATTCGTTTAACTTGTTTAAAGTGTTTGTGTCTTTGATTCATCAAAGTTAAAGAGGTCTTTTATTAAGATTTGCGACATAAAACAGAATAAGATGGAAAGGAGGGAAGGGCAGGTCATATAATTAGACTAGACGATGACTTTTTAAAGATTTTTATACTTTTGTTTAAATTGTTAACATGGTATTGCGTATGATTTTGTATTTTTACAGCACCTGCTTTGCTTGTTTAGATGTTCTGTGGAGGACAGAGAATATTCTCCAATACAGAAAAAGTAAGTTCATTATTTGTTTTTCTGCCCTTGTTATTCACTTTGAAAGTGTCTGCCATTTAAGGCAAAAACTGTGAACCTTGTAGTTGCCACGTCTTTGAAATGGCTTTGTTAAAATGTTCAACCGAAGTCGACAAATTTTTTGTCTTTGCTGACAGAGAAGAACTTGTCTTTTGAAACTCTTTTTCCAGGTTTCCCTTTTCTAACTATATGTTGTACTTGTGTTTTGATGTTAATGAAACTGAAAAGGTTATCGATACTCGAGCTGTCGGTGGCCTAATGGTTAGGCTCTCGGACTCGCAGCCGTAAAGTCATGGGTTCGAATCATTGACGCTTTGAAGTGCAGTTCCTACAGCGCCATCGAATGTTTAAAAAAATTATATTATGTGATAAATTCATCCCTAACTTCTGAACATTTTCAAACTATTCATAGTGCCAGTCACTGAGCTCGCGTGTGTTTTCTTGGACCCACTGCAATGTGATAACATCATGTCGTCATTCATAACGCTTTGAATTCCAAATGGGGGAAGGGAAGCTCATTGCAACAGCCAGGTTCATGAAAAAAAACATGATTCCCTGCACTTTGAGGATCAAGTTCCCTTGCTTGAGCCATTCATAGTATGAGGAGTGAATACTGAATAGTGATGGATAGTCTTTAGAGGAATGTTTTATAACTCTTGTTGGCTCCTCTTATCATTCTGTCTTCTAACTGTAAAGTACAGAGTATTTCTGTATGTATCTCAATGATTTTAGATTAATAATGCTGTATTTTTACTACAGTTTCAGAAAACTGAGACAAAAGTCAGTAATCAGTAAAAAAAAAAAAAATCACACTGCATTCAAATGGCTCTGTCTCGTTTTGAATAGCTATCAAAGCACAAAAATCACCAATGTTGAAGAGTAAAGTCGAATGGGCACAGCTTTAATGTGGTTAATTTGCTCCTTCTTTCCTATCAAACATCTATCCTGTTTATCTCTCCTCCTGTTTTGTGTTCGTTACTCTCTTGTAATACCTCTAATCTTCGTCTCTAATTGGTCTAATTGTGTTGCAGGTACCGTAAAACTCTTACAAAACAGAAAACCTTTTACTTTTTTTATAAAAAACTTTGAAATGTGTGTCTAGAATTACGATTTATTCAGTGTTGTGTTGATTTTCATGTCAGTACAATATTAGAAGTTTTAGCTATCCACCGATTTTTATGCAGTATGAGTGAATGTAATTTATTGACTTTTCCTTAGGTGGATGCTTCTCAAGTAACAGTGGCTTTGAGAGCCTGTGCAAAGGCATCCGGAAACTTCCCAGTCAGAACGAAGTCATAACTCTTTTCCGTGAGTTCTTTATTGTACTAGCTTCTGCATGTAGATGTCTGCTCAAACACATGTGGGTGTGAATAATGAATATAATTTTCTATTGGTGTGAAAAGATCCTACGTGGAGATAGATGCTTGTTCAGGACTGATATTATTACATGTATAGTTTTCTCAATTGGACATAAATAAGATGATTACTAGGTTGTATGAACATTTTAGTAATTTTGGTGTGTTTTGTTTGTCCACACTACAGTTATTTTTGTTTGTTTTATGGGGGGGGGGGGGGGGGGGTGTTCGTTTGAAAAAAACAAAAAACAAATGTGCCAGCCATTGTTTAATTGTGAAGCACCTAGGGCCACCAAGGAGTGGGCGCTATGGAAGTACTGGATGAACTTCCTCCCTGCTGGGTGTGTTGTGACACGAGGTGGGGGGGGGTCAAATGATCTGCTGTCTATGCTTGTTCAGGTAGAAGCGGAATAAAACTTTTCTATATCGTCAGCCAGCTGTTAAAATGTAATTGGCTCAAAATTTTTTAATTCTTTAAAATGCAGTTTCTTAATCTGTGATATTGGATGATTGTGCTCAAGAAATATTTTGGTGAAATTGACACTCTAAATTTTGAAAAAAAAGCAAAAAAAGAAAAAGAAAACAACCCACAAAACCAACAAAAAAAACAACCCAAACCATTATTCAGGTACAATTACTAACAAACCTTTTCTCTCTCTTGTAAACTTTTGCTTTCTTTGCTATACAAAAAACTGTTAAGTACTCTTATGAGTCAGGGTGGTTGGCAGGTGCTCTTGTGTGGTTTTCCCCCTCTTTCGTATCAGACATCTATTGTCTTTACAATTTCCTCTTTATTTTCTATTTTTTGTATGCTACTCCCTAGTAACACCCCAAATCTTTGGCACTTATATGGCCAATTTATTGCAACTGCCATAAAACTCTTACTGAAAAGACTTATTTTACATGTAAATGAGTGTTAAGGCAACTGCCATGAAACTCTTACTGAAAAGACTAATTATTTTACATATAAATGAGTGTTAAGGCAACTGCCATAAAACTCTTACTGAAAAGACTAAATATTTTACATATAAATAAGTGTTAACTACTGTTCTAAGTATGTCTGAACTGTTTTCGTTCTCAAGGACAAACTCTGAAGACGGTGAACTGTATCGACACCTGGGAGGGTGTCTACCAATTCACCTACGAGGTGAACTGGGGTGGTGGCGGTATCTGCGATCACCCGGACAACCGACTCAAGGCCTGCCAGGACCCAGGCTCTGTCTACGTGGACAATCAAGTGTTTCTCATGACCTATGCCAGGTGTCCTGGAGTTCAAACCTCAAAGTCAGAAAGTAAGGGGTTTTTGGTTTGATTGATTGATGGAGTAGATGTTTTACGTCACTATCGAGGGTTTTTTTGTTGTTTTTTTGGTGTCTCCTCTCATGTATAATTGTATCTTTAAGGCCATCTGCGGGTGAGATTTTCCCCATTTTTACCCAGTTTGATCATACATTTTTTCCCCCTCCATTTTTGAAACCTACATCCATTTCCATCAAAGTTTCAAGTGTCCGCTTCAATCAATTATGTTTTAAAGTCATTTAAAAGGGGGTTTAAAAAAAAATATTTTGCAATTTTGGGTCATGTTTTTTAATATTTTCTTAATTTTTTTCAGGAATTTGTTTTTCGAACTTTAAATTAAATCTTCTCCTTTATTTTTCATCTGAATAGCTTCATTATTTTGCACAATGTACATCCATAGGTGACCTGTACTGAAATAGAGCCCTTTTTCAAGATAACGGAAGAATAAAATTACAGTCAGTGTTTTTGATGGAAATTTAGAAATTTTTTTGCTCTTTATCCATGTACATATTTCCCGAGTCCATAATTATCTTCATAATCGTAATATTACAAATCTAGCATTATTTGTTCATTATATATGTGTTGTACTTGCTAAAAATGAAAGCCAACGGGCGGAAACTAAGAGAGAAGATAGCTTTTGAAATTCATTTGATGAAATTATCCAATATGGCGGCTTGGTTACCATGGTTACCATGTGCTTATAATAATAAATAATTGCTTGAATTTATTCTTTGATGTATGAATATATCATCATTGCTATATGGTCGAGGGATATGGATTTTAGAAATTCCACCAGCAGATGGCCCTAAGGTTATCTATGGGGAATCATCTATGTGATGCTGTTTTTTTCTCTTTTTTTCCCCCTTGTTATTTCCATTATTTTCACGTAATTTTTCTCAGCATAGAAATTTTTTTTTTTATTAAACTCCTTAATAGTTGAGTAAATTATCTGTCTTTTAAATGTTCAAAATGTGGCAAACTTTTCTTTGCCTGAATCTGCCACGGCGGAAGCCACAAAAGAAGCCTTCTTAACCTTTAATTCTTCAAATTCTTCTATTTCGCTGGAGAATATTATTCTCCTAAGCGGATGTATTGGTCATCGTCAGACATTGACGGAAGAGCTTTTGTTTTGCTCTTGAGTCCGAATATCAAAGTGCAATTTTATTCTTTCAGCTATCAGATACCAGTGCATGGGCAGCTGGTATGCCCTCATTGACGGAGAAGGCTACACGTTTGCTTCCATTGCTGACACCGTAGAGAAAGACACCAGGGAAAAGTACAAGTGTTTGGTGAGAAGATTCAAACATTAAGAAGCAATTGGTTTTGGGTTCTTTAGGCTTTTAAAAAAAATTGTTTTGTTGGTTTTGCTTTTTTTTTCCGCAAGGAGCCAGCAATTTTATTTTGTTTTATATTAACGAATGAAATCCTATTCAATTACTTTCACCGCTACCTAATTTCTAACAGATGTATAGTGAGTTTTCCTTTTTCGGGGTAAAGGAGGCGTCTTTTCTCAAAGCTCTTGCTAGAATGAAAAAATTTGTGGTGTTAATCTCAACTTGTCCAAATGATGCATAGTTTGTTTCTATGGTTACAAGCTGAGCCCCATGGACTTGTGCTCCTGTCATCCACATTCTTTTTCATGCTGTGCGTACAAAGTTCCACCCATTATCATTCTTTTTCAGTGAAGTTCTGGTCCTTGTCTATTTTTTTAAAAGTTCTGATCATATGATGATATACTGTAAAGCACGTATAGCTTGCTGTTGAGCGGAGATATGCGCTATAAAAATGCTACTCATATTATTATTACTACCATTACCTTTTCAATTGATTCAGACTAGCACGATAGGATATTCTTCATTCTTACGTTGTGACTTTCTATTTCACTCCGCACACAAAGTAGTATTGACTGGTGTGGGATAGTTGTAATTCTTATTGTATTTGGGAACTATTTCAAATCTTTGTCCTGGAGCAATGGTAGGGCCTTGTTTTTCACTTTCCCTACATTATTTCCATCTATCAGTCTATTTCCCAGCAGTAAATGACCGTTGCTATATCGATGTACTTCTTCTTTACCGCTACTCAAAGCTTTAATCTCTGTCTGCATCTTTTCTTTACCGTGTCTCATTATACTCATAACTCTAATCTTCTCCTGTGTCCAGATGACGAAGAGAGATCAGAAGCAAGAAGACAACTCCATCTCGTGGGGTATGTCTCGCTTTGCCGACTGCAGCGCGCTGAACAGCGTGTACAGCTCTCCAGTGAGATTGAGGCTGCACAGAGGTAAGTCGATCACATGGGAAGAATGCTGGTCACTTTGATATTTAAAACAATATTCGCCAAAAAATACAACAAAAAGGACAACTTTTGGACAAGTTTAACAGTTTGCGGTCACTTGACGCAATAATACGATGGTGAAAAATATCCGTTCCGGTCACTTGATGCAATTCTGCGACAGGCCCGAGAAGTCTGTTGCAGTCACTCTCCTTGCTGGGTGACCTGATAGGGTATTTTGTACTGCTGGCTGTGTGACTGCAAAGTGTTAGGTGGGCAGTGTACTTTGCCACCGGTTGATCCTTTTCCTTTTCTTTCTCTTTTCTGTTTCTGTCTTTCTCTCACAAGTTTTTTCTTGATCAAACTGACTAATGGATGGTTGGCTGGTGCTCTATTGTGGCTTGCTTTTTCTTTCCTATGAAACATCTATGGTCCTTATCTCCCTTTCTTCTTTTTTTTTTTTTTTTTTTTGTTACTCTCTTGTATTGCCTCTAATCTTCTGGCGCTCATATGACCTTATTGTGTTGAGAGCGCTGAAAAACCTCTGCTAAAACTACAAAACCTCTACTAAAACTGAAAGACGTAACTATATGAAGATGTGATAAAGATTTGTTGTCAACGCATGTGTATTTTTTTCTCTGTAACAGTGCCGCCCCAGACACCGTACGTAGCCCCTCAGTGTAGCATGCCCAGAAACATCTCCGGTGAGTGGTTCACGCAGGGCATCCAGTTCAAGTCCCGAGTTGTGGTCAACGAGACGCACTTCCACTACTTCACGCAGAAGAACAAGTTTGAGTACGAGGAAACGTACCTGTCCTGCCAGCAGACCTTGGGCACACGCTACCTCATGACCAAGTACATTGTGGGAAAATGGTGAGTTGACGGTTGTGTTTATATCATGGGTCTCAATACTCCGCTATTTAGCAGATTTCCGCTACCGCCATTTCCTCCGCTAAACTTCACTACCCAATAATGCGCCACCACTCTCTGTACATAATCAAGATTGTTAATATTTGGTAAGTGACTCTTTTACTTGAAATTATCCTCAAAACCCTCAAATTGTTTTGAAATAACCTTGCTTTGATAAATTAATGTTTTTATTTCAGCATTCTAGGGTTAACCAGTATAATAATAATGGGTGTTTCGGGAAAATGGTCTGCTGTCGCGATCATGCGAAAAGTTATTTGTATCTTCTTTAAGCCTCTTCGTTTGTCTTGCTTTTGACGAAAAAATCCACACCTGTCTTGAATAGAAAGCTAGATATTTGGGATTGAAGGTGGTCGGGTTGCCCTGCTTCAGACGTAAAATTTGCGAGAAAATAGCTGCCAGAGTATGCCAACTGCCATAGCTAGAGAGTCTTTGAAAACTGAAAATTTACACTCTTTGTGTCTTTAATTAGTGTTTTTCAGTAACATCCACGCACAAATGTGATTTTAAATGGGCAAAAAGGTGTTGAGGCAAAAAAAAGGAAATTAGAAAAAAATTGCCCTCCAGTTAAAAAAGGCCGATTTTTAAAAAAATTTCATTATTTTGACAAGCGCCTGATTTCACCACGGTGCCTCATATGTGTGTCTTTGTTGATAATACTAGTTAAGCTTCTCCTTTTGTTTGAGCACACACAGTATTTTTAGTGAGAACAATATAAATAATTGTTCTGTGCAGAGAATTTGGGGAAAAGTGTTTAAATGCGTCTCTAAAATACCCCCCCCCCCACCCCTTTTTTTTCCTTCTATTCTGCCCCTAGTGTTTGATTTTGTTTCAGTCTTCACCTGTAGATCCTACAATTTGTCACTTTCTGAAGTATTACTGTGTGTCTCATAATATGAAGAGAGTCTGTTTTCAGGTTGTCCCCCCAAAAAACTGAGTTCACCGGTAAATAATTGAATCTGATCAAATACTCCATGGCCTATTCCAGACTTACAATGTTTGTTGACTAGATGCCTTCTTCTTTTTACAGAGTTTGTGTTTGTTTGTTTTTTTATGTGACCCGTTCAGTTTATAACAAAATCTTTTAATGTATCTGAAATTTTTTGTGACTTATTCAGGTTTTATCGATATGCATCAATTGAAAAACATGTTGCCGTAATCCGTTATTATTTTTATTTCAGCTGTATATTTTTCGAGGGGATAATCCGTTGTGGATATACTTTTTCATTGTTGGTGGTTGGCGGGTGCTCTGGTGTGGTGTGGTTAACTCCTATCTATCGTCTCTATTTCCCCTCCTTCTTTTTTATTTTTTATGTTTGTTACTCTCTTGTAACACCTCTAATCTTCAGCACTTATATGACCTTATAATGCTGCAAGTGCCGTAAAACTCTTACTAAAACTAAAGTTTTTCATGGTTGTTGTTTGATGTTCTCCCTCAGCGAAGTGGACTTTGTTTGTTACGACATCTTGCCGAGGCATCATGGGATTGTTCGCTACAGAGTCGGTAAGTAATAATACTGTGAAAACTTTTAAATAGCTTTAATGCTCTGCATTTCCATTTTCTAAGAAATGCTCAATGCGTATTTACAAATCATGTTGATATCACATTAAAAAAATTAATTGACACTTGTGTATGTAAAGCATAATATTATTATTATGTTTATGTATTAAAAATTTCTGTGAGAAAATTAGTTGCGCAGTGAGCCTGGCAATGCGAAGTATTAACTTCCAAGTTTTCTCACTTGTATCACTACTTTCTGGCTTTGAACTTTTGGACGAATTTAACTTATTCTGTGGCGTTAAATAACCCCCAAAAACTTATTGTATTAGCAAAGCCAGATGATTTTTTAAAGACTATTATTCTGCAGTAAAAATTGTTTTGTGTGCAGGGAATACAGGCATAATATTCCTAAAATGGCTAAATCTGTGTCAAAGTGAAAGAAGAAGTAGCTTTGAGACATTTATTTAACCCATTGCTCACAAGCTACGAGTATATTCGTACTTGCCGCGCGCTTCCATCCACCGAGCTACGAGAATAGTCGTATCAAAATACCAGTCCAGAAAATTGAGTCCGATCCACTTATCCAGGTTTCTATTGAAAATAATGGGTCGCTTACAGCTTAAAAAAATTTTGCTCGCTTGTTTTGACCCAGTTTTTTTTCAAGTACGAGTTAGTTTTGTTGTTTTGTCACCACAAATCATGGCAAGAAAACGAGCCCTGAAATTTTCATGGACGAGAAGAAGAACCCCCCCCACTCACACACAAAAAAACCAGTGCTACAGCTATATTGTGTTTGTTAAAATAGGCCTACATGAACTATGTTTTTAATTTTGTTTTAGGCATACGCTGCAAAGAAAGTGAATGTAGACATAAATCTAGAAAAACAAGGCAATCGGATTGATTTTAGAGCCTTGAAAACTTTTAAGAAAAGCTAGATTTAGACCATAGATTTACTGTAATTTGTTATAGCTAAATCGTGTGCAGTCGGAGGAACAATATATTTTTTCTCTGCTCTTTCCTTCTTATTTCTCTCTAATAATATTAAAAGAACATTTAAAGTAAAATCTAAGCGAAATTTCATATTGATAGCTTAAATAGTTTGGGAACAATGCGTGTCTAAGGTTCGTGTGGCGAGTTTAGACCTTTTTTTTTCCTCGGCTCGCGGCAAGCCAGGTGGACACAAGAGTACTGCCGCGGCAACGCAGGGTGATTTGGGCTAACCCTTCTGAATCAAAATAAATGTATTCGGATTCGTTAGAGATTGCATTAGCAGTAAAGCTTCATTCACCCTGCAATCTGACCTGACGCTGGGACCGTCCACTCGCCATAATGGAGTAAAGAATGGTGAATAAATATCACCTGGGAGGAAATGTGAAAAGTTCTTACCGAAGCAAAGAATGTTCCAGTTGACCGCATTGTGATGTCATGATGTACTGCTCCTCCCAGGCAAACCCTCGAGGCTGACAGATGATGAAATCGCCGATCCGACGTTCATGGTGAAGAAGTTCAGAGAGGTATGCAGCTGGCAGTCCTTCACCTTCAACCGCAACGATACAGACTGGAAATACGAAGTGCTGATTTGTGAGTTTTTTCCCTTTTGGCATGCACACTGTGTGATGTTCATACTTATTTTGAATAGAGAGGACATGAAAGAAAAGGATAAGACGCACCGATGTGTAATTCTATTACTTTATAAGTCGATGATATTAAAAAATGGCTACTAGACATACTTTCCCCTCAGAAATGCTTTCTGCTGTGAAACAAGACTAACATAGTAATTGTATTAATAATCTCACCATAGATAATACATTAGAAATTCTTTCATTAATTAAGACTGGAATCAACAGCATATGTGCTAAAATATAACATATATTTATATGATGAAATTCTGACTAACAAACTATTTATTTGAGTGTGATAATTTGAAGGTTTTTATGGAACAAATTCTTCTGATCTTTCACTTAAATTTCTGAACTGTCAGGACAAGCCATAAAAGCTTATCAGTTATTTTTTTTTAATCCGGTGAATTGACGAATAATTGGACAGTATATTTTTGTTGTTGGGAGATATGTATGAAAATGTATGAAGACTACAGGGGAAAAACCACTATAGTCACAAACTGGAAATTGTGAGGGTGACAATTTTAAAAGCTTGTGGACTCATAACTTCATATATGTTTGAGTGGTGGTTTATTGTTAAGTCTTGTTGAATGGGAAATCTAACAACAATAATCAACCAACGATTGAACAGGAATACAGTTATGAGTCAACTAGCGTTCAAAATTGGTACCTTCACGATTTTCAGTTTGTGGCTACCGTCGTTTTTTCCCCTGTAGTCTTCGAATGTTTTTCTGTGTGAGTTGAGTGGTGAAGGGATGAAAAATGGTAGCAAATCGGAATTTGTTAAAATGTTTTGTGGCTTGTGTTTCCTGTTCTTGAGTGTGTGAATGGGCACAAATATGAATCTCTTGTATCTGTGGGGGGGGGGGGGTTACGGGGGTTTTTTAGTATTGCAATTTTCATTTTATTTCATACAAGGTCTGCACTTTGCCATATTTTCAGGATTCTAGCTTTGGATTTTTATTTTATTTTATTTTTTAAAATTTTAATTAATTTTTTTTGTTTGTCTTTTGATGTTTGAGGATATGTTGTTCATTCGTTTGTATTGTTTGTGTTTTTTTCTGGGTTAAAAAAAAAGTTTTTCCAATACAAGGATGTTAGTGAATTTTGGCCCTTGTGTTGGATGAAAGATCAAACTGTTAACCATGTTATATGTTCCCTGTCTGTGCAGTGGATGTTAACTGTGTTATGTTCCCTGTCTGTGCAGTGGATGTTAACTGTGTTATGTTCCCTGTCTGTGCAGTGGATGTTAACTGTGTTATGTTCCCTGTCTGTGCAGTGGATCCCCCATCGCCGGTGACCTGTCCTGTGGCCGGACGGTACAGTTTTGTGCAAAACGCTAACGGCTTTCTGGAGAAGTACATGACCCGTATTCGGGGCGTGACCGTCAAGCCTCGTGTACAGGTCAACTGTCGCATCATCGTGTCGGAGCTCAAGTCCTGCAGCCAGGACAGGTCGAGGATTGAGATTGATGAAGAATACTGCGAGAGTGTGGACTACAGGGGGAGACCGATTGGAGAATATGGTGAGCCCAGGGGTGTTTTTTTTTTGTTTCCTACAATACTGCCATAAGCTGACAAAGCGCCTTTTTTCATTTTGGCACCAACTTTTTTTATTTGCTAAATCGAAAGCCTGATCAGTTACCCTACTTGTGTGACAACAGACCAAAGTGAAACTGTTACTAGTTTTTGAATAAATTAGAATAAAAATTTTGAAGTCACTTTTTTTAAAAATGGTTATGCTGACAAACTCGAAACTGCTATTAAGTAAAAACAGCTTTTTGTCAGCTTACAGTAGAATATTTTGTGCTTTTATAATGTCATCATTAACTATAAGTATACGGCATGCCTGTTCAGCTGACTCGCAGCATCATTTGGTTATCATATCTAACCTCAGCAAATTCATCCTATCTATAATCAGGGTGTCCAGCAAGGTCGTAAAATTGTAAATTCAGCCCCCTGGTAGTAAAGGTAGTAAATGGAAGTAAATGTGCAGTGAAGGTAGTAAATATTTGATAAACAGTCGTAAATTAACCTGCGTACAGAGTAATGAAGCCAGTGACACTTTTCAGTGAACAGAGTCATGGCCGCAGTACTCATCGAGAGTACGTTTCACTTTCACGCACACTGGGCACAGGCGGCTATGGCGGCAGGCGGAAATGTATGTGACTCCGAGGCTCGATCAGGAAAATCGATATCTACTTTCTCTTTTGTTTACCTCCCAGAAATGTGCTGCGTGATAGACTGGTAACCGGATGGTAACACAACATTTGTGACATGCGGGTTGTGCAGTGTAAATGCTGTGTCGCTGTGCAAATAAAATTTAATCAATACTCGGACTGGTCACTGTGCTGTCACTTGTGGGAAAAAAAGAAAAGAAAATACAAACGTCGTATGATATTTAGATTGTTGGGCTGGCCATCGTGACCGGTCAGTGAACCTGCGCACTTTCACATCACAAATAAATGCGGCATCTCGTGAGTAACAGCGTTTGTTGGGGTCGCCTAAGTTCATTCAAAGTCTGAGCATTGCAAAATATAGGACTACGGAATGGGGGAGGGGATTATTGATTTTTTTAAAAAGATACAATGGGGGGGGGAGTCAACTCCAGAGGACAAAAACTTGGAAGCAAATTTCAGAATTTTGATTAGATTTAGAGCTCTCTGCAGAGCGCGCATTGGGGCAGGCCGTGTGCGATATCGGGACCCTTCATACCTTGTAAGTCTGTGTTATTGAAATAAAGTGTTCGCTTTTCATTGGGTGGGTGATAGTAAATTATAACTACAGTGTATATTGTAGCTTTCTGTTCAAGACTGGTAGATTTTCAGTGTCACTGCATCTTGCCATCCCACAGTTGTTACAACTCTCACACTGCATGGATCTACTTTGGCCATTCAAGTTGTTTCTCTACTTTGAGTTTAAGCTATAATTTTAGTCTGTCACTCTTTGTAGCTGTATAATAATACATTTGTTATCATTGTTATTATTATTATTATTGGATTATCTCTCTCTGTAGCTGTTAGATGACCTATGTCTTTTCGATGGCTTTTCAGATGAGCCGGACCACATCCTGACCTGTGTTGGTTTCTGGATGGAAGACATGAAGTCTTACATGATCACGTATGACGAGGAGGACGCCATCTCCAGATTCCGGTGTTGGGTAAGTTGTTGTGTGTGCATTGATTATTTTCCCCCTGAACAAATTGTCACTTTTAAGCTCAAGGGAGCTATCCCAAAAAATGCTGTTTTGAGAAAATTGAAGGTAAAGTTTTTTCCCCTTGTTCAGTTTCTTTAAAAGACAAGGAGAGTATTCTCTATAACCAAAGAAATATATACTCACCAATGAAACCAAACTTCTCCTATAGGTAGGGCAATGCCCACTTTTGGTGTAGGTCAAGATTTCTGGAAACCCCCGAAATCTGGATTAGCCCGCTTGTCCTTAAAAGCGACCAAATACAGGGGAAATAAAAAGTGCTTGGACTTATTTTTTTAAAATTCACTTCGAATAAGGGTCAAAGAAAAGGGGAACGTGCACACCCGTCGGCTCTGCAAGACTCACGGGGCCCTGAGACTGAAAACTTTGCCAACCCCATTATTAATTCAAGAGAAGTTGTACGGGCTGGGCGGACAGATGAACTGAGCAGGACAGCCCAGTATATGACAAATACCGGACTTTTTTGATGCGATCGAGAAGAAGAAGAAGAAAAATAAAAGGAGAATGACATAAGTTGCCTGAAGCATTGTCGTTTGTTCCGTAGACGTGAGAGAACACTATAGAGATAGTCAACAACAATCCCCGTCTCTAACTGGCTTTGTCAGTGCTGTTGGGAAATGTTAAGTTGTGATGCCGGTTGATTAAAGCTACAACTGTGGTCTAGATCTCATTAGAACAGAAATAAAGGTAGAATCAGATTATGAAAACCACTAGACCAAACTTCAATCAGATTGTAATTCATGGCAGAAAATACAAACCAATCCAAAAACAAACAGCGCAAAAAAAAAAAAGTCATACTTGAGAATCACCCTATAGAAGATAAAAATTAATTAATTAGGAATTTATTATGTGTAATTTATTCAATCTACATTCAATTTTGAATGTGAAAACCTCTTTTCATGGTAAAAAAATATTTATTTGCAAAGTTACAACAGTTTTTGTATGATCAGTTCTTCTTCAAAATTGTTACCATACAGCCACAAATGGATACAATACACAAATAAAAATGTATGCGAAAATTTTTAATCTGTTTATGGAATACTAGCCATACTGTGAACATACTGAATTGTTTCTATGTTTGTTTCAGAAGTTAATGATTGCATTCTCATCGGCCAGTTTCATTGGCCACTCAGAGACAATGGGTTAAAGTCAGTGTGATTTTGGAATAAACAGATTCTACTTTATCTAATCATCATCAGTTGCAACATCTGTAGGATGAGGATATAAAAAGAAAAACATTATTGTTAGTTGGACAATGTCAAATGCCATTTTCAACCCACTAAAAACTCTAAATTTCAATTTCTTTGGAAGCTTTGCGCCCAAAACCCCCAGTGGGACGCTGTCCCTGGACCCTGCTGGGGGCTGATGTGCCCCCCTAGATCCCCAGCAGAATTTTCCTTACTTTTCAGCTTCAGATGTTGGAAGCACTGTATATGTCAAGGCCCTTAACACTTTGCCATCATATTTTGGGGAAAATCCAAAGAAAGTGGGTGGGAAACATCGCCAATCGGCGAGATGAGGCGGATAAGTGTTAAGCCGAAGAATTGCGTCCATGTGCTTCTCTTTACTTTAACTTATTTGTGTGATGACGTCGTGGAATCAGGCGCTTGTCAATTTTGGCGCATATGGGGTTATTGGTATCATCTTAAAGCCTGTTCATTTGCCTTCCTTTTGATGAAAAAAATATACATGTTGAATAGAAGTCGAAATATTTGCGATTGAAGGAGGTCAGGAATGAGCGCTTGATTTCACAACGATCCTGCCTCACATTTTCCTTCTCAGGTGTACGAGCGCATCAGCTGGACTGAACTGTCTCTGTCTCGTAGCCAGACGGCGAGATGCCAGCGGGCCCAGAACGCGACCAGCTACATGTTGGAAGGCACTGGCCTACAGATGGTGCTCACGGAGAATGAGAGACTTTGTGAGTTTGACTCATTTACTCGCCCTTTGCCATTTACTCGCTCTTTACTTTGCTTTTGCTGCGATTATGCATCATTCGATTCTGTTAGTTTGTTAATTATATTCTCATACACTTATATGCACACACATTTATGGCAAAACACGCACTCGTGCTCGGGTGTACACACACACAAACACACACACACAAACACTCACACACATGCACAGTCTTGGTGTTCCTATTACACCCTGTTGTGAGGGATAGACTTTCCAATTACTTTTCCTAAATTTGGAATCTATTCTTACCTCTTGTACAAAGAAAAAGACTGAATATTTGATGCTGTGAATTGGTGTTAATGTTAAAAAACTCAAATTTTTGTCCTCCGTCCGATTCATAAGGATTTTTTTTAGTCTTATACGTGTCCTTTTTAAAAACAAAGATACATTTAACATTTTGTTTTTCAGTTGACGACTGCCCTCAGCGATTTGACCCTGGCCTGAATCCGCATATGCGACCAACAGTGATATACGTTCTCAGCTCCGCCCCACAGATCTCTTCTCTCGGGGTACTGGCGATCTTCAGCGCATTTTTAGTTGCCAGTTTACTTTAATGTTTGGGGAATTTCTCTGAAGAGGTGCGATTGATTCAAGTGTTTATGTGTGTAATTCTCTGTGTGTGTGTGTGTGTGTGTGTGTATGTGTGTGTGTTTGATGATTGCTCTGCAGAATAGGGATGGGCTGGTACCGGTACCCAGACCAGAACTCCCGGTTCTACCGAAGGAGATGTCAGTACTGGCACCTGGCCTCCGGTACCGGCCTTGGGAAGGAGCTGACACCAACGACCAATGGTTTTTTACAAGGCCACGGAAAGTGTGCTGTGTGTAGGCCAAGGCCTAGCAGCTGTGACGTCAGATGCACAACGCAGCGGGTAACTTTGATAAATGACTTCAGATTGAAAATTGACAATCAAAAATGAAGTTTGCTTAAATTTAGATAGGGCATCAAATCAGGTTCCTCGAGAGCCACTTTGTTTGTATTGATATGCTGATTCCGAAAATGAAATCAATTTTTAGCGCAATGAATATTTTAAAAATTCTGCTTGCAGAGTTTAATCCCGGGCGGCAGCAAACTTCAAAGGTATTTTGCGTCATAGTTCGTCCCTCCAATTCTTACTTGTGTTTGTGCCGGGGGGGGGGGGATGGTTGTGGTGACGCGAGACGCACAGTCTGTGACGTCAGCTCCTGGTGTCACTCCCAGTACTGGTACCGGTACTGACGGTAGGGTGCCAAGAAAGTACCGACACTGGGTTTTGCCGGTACTGCTCAGCACTACTGCAGAATGGTGGTATGTTGTGTATATAGGTCAAAAGTGTCACATGGTGTGTGTGGTTGTGTGTGTGTGTGTGTGGTGCACAAGCCAAAAGTTTTTACTCTGTAAATATTGCGTTAGCGAGAATGGTCATGTTGGATGTGTGTGTAATGTACGCTATAGTCTTTTTAATCTGGAAGTATAAATTGTCTGAAGGCAAAACAGCTGATTACTGTATATAGTATTCATTCCCTGTGGTTGTTTTGTTTTTTTTCTGTCACAAATGAAAGCTAGGACATAGTTTTGCAATAGTCAAGAAAAATATTTCGTAAAAAAATCGTTAAGCTGCTAACAGACCACTTTTTGGGAGAACAAGAACGTTTTTTGTAATGATCTTTGATTCAACTTGTTGATTTGAATAAGCAATTATGTGAGGGTTTTTTTTTCACATTCCTATCTTTTTTCCAATGTAATTTGATGGCTGGCCCTGTAAACAAAACCACCTTTGTATTTTGCCATAAATTTTGTCGCATGCTGTCCCGTTAATGTGTTGTGTTCCCGTCGGAAGTGTTCACTCCTGCCCTTCTGCCGTGTAAGTGAGTATAGAGAGTGCTCATCCAAGAATGTCAGTAGTAACCTGAACCTACCTGACAATTCAATGTATCCGTAGTCAACTGAAGAATATACACAGTTATTTGACCAATTTACTTATGTCCTTTTCTGATGTGGAAACGGAGATGAGTGTGCCTTGTTGATGATTCTGAGAACAAGTACGCCAGGTTGAAGCCTCGGACTATGATACAACTGTAGCTGGATTGGATCTGATTTTGTAAATTTCTTGTGGCTCTCTTGCTCTGTTTATTTCTGAAAGTGCTATCTATCCCTTCAGTAAAATGCTCATATCTGCTCCATTGTTCTTTCGTGGATTTTTTTTTTTTTAAATTGAGAAATGCAAAACTTGATTTCTTTCTTCGTCTTTATATCATGCTGTACTGTGCACTGTTTGCACTTATGTGAGAATATACTCCACAATCAGTACCAATGGATACTCATTTATTTTAGCCCTAAGGGGTGTGAACTCGTATCTACACTCCTGTTTCTTTCTCGTTATATTATTACGATTAATTTCTTTCTTTTGGTAACCGTGTTATTCTACTGACATTCCTACTTTCTTTTCCCTTATATTTTTTTTGTCATAATTTGGTTGGTTGGTTTCATACTGCTGAGCGAATCTTCAAGACATCGCCTTCTTTGCTGCGGTAAGCTGACAAAACGCCTTTTTTTTTCTTCACAGCAGTTTTGAGAAAAAGAGGGTTTTTTTTTGTCAGCATAACCATTTTAAATTAGAGTGATTCCGAAATTTAAATTTGAATTTATTTTAGTAAAAAAACTAGCCGCAGTTTCACTTTGATTTTTTCACACAAGTAGTAGAAGGGTAACTGATCAAGCTTCCGATTTAGCAAGTAAAAAATGTTGGCATCAAAATGAAAAAAGGCGTTATGTCAGCTTATGGCAGTATGGCCCATGCCTGGTGCGGGTGTTGTGGTGGTTTATGTGGGAGTCTGTCTAGCTCACCTGATAACACTTTACTTACGCCAGGGAAGCACTCGCTCACTGTCCTGTGTTGATTGAGCCATATTACTAAGACTTGACCTAATGATTTGATACTGCGAGTCCGTGAATTACTATACCTTGTTAGTGGAGCCATGCATAGCATATCATATATCTAAGAGTTATTATTAACCTACTAATCAGGGATGCCAAGTCTCCGTTTTTTTCCGGCTTTTTCCGTGTTTTTTTTCATCCACTTGCAAAGGAAAGGGGAATGGTAAGAGAAATGTTTTTGTTTGTTCATTTAAAGATTTTACAAGGTTCGTTTTAGGTGAGGTGTGATGTCCACTCATTTTCATGGGGGGTTTTTTCTAAAATTTTTGGCATCCCTGACTAATGCTTTGTTACGACAAGTCTGAATTCTTTGTACAAAGTCATGCAAGAACTGTGTGAGTAATGGTGTGGTGTTGGGAAAGTATGTTACGGTGAATGTGTCGTGTATGTCTGTGTTGCTGTGTTTCTCTGTCTGTTCAAGCCAAACACACCAAGTGTGGCCTCAATGACATTATCTCTACCACAGCTGTGGGACAAGTATAGCCTGAGCCAGGGCCACTGTGTAGACAAATATTGTTATCTTCTGGCTGCGATGCTACAGCGCAGGACGGATAATGTTTGAGAATTGTATCAGTGTCACATTGGGATGGTTTTGGTTTCTCTTAGGGTTTTCCAAGGGGTGGTTATTCTTAGGGTTAATTAAGGAATGGTTTCTTTGAGGGTTAGAAAAGGGTTAGGCGAGGGATGGTTTCTGTTAAGGTTAGGCAAGGGATGGTTTCTGTTGGGGTTAGAAGAGTGTTAGCAGGGTCCTCACCAGGTCGGGAAAAAGTCGTGAATTTTGTGATGGGTCGATAAGTCAGGAAAGGATAGGGTCTGGAGGCTAGGGATGGTTTCTTTGAGGGTTAGGCGAGGGATAGTTGTTCATCCTTACCTGTCATCCATTCCTTTCCTGCGCTCAGTTCTCACTGACTCATTGCTTCTACACTGGCTCTGGTGTTGGACTCGGGCTTGAAGTACGTCTTGTTGACACCGTCGGCTTATAGGCCTTGTTCCCAGCAAATATCTGAAATGTAAAAAAAAAACCCCGCAAAAACCATCACTTTGGCGCCGTTGAGCTGATGACAAAATATTCTTATCCCTTCTCAATATGATGAATAGAATTAGAGATCTTCATGTAAAAGAAAAACGGACGATGTATATGTGAAGTAAATGCAAAGTTTTGTAACTTTAGGATAAGGTTACCTTATTCCACACAGTTTGTTTTAGTCAAGCAACCCTATACTTAGGTACGTTTGATCCAAAGTAAGTTTGTAAATGTCAATCCTGCTTTAGGTCTATTTACAAATACAATTATATTTTTTTTCTATGAACTGGTCCAATTTTATGATGGAATTGAAAAAAAATATATTTTACAAGGAAAGTGACCTACCCAGTGTACTTTAAAGTCATCTGTGGCTCTACAATAGAGCTGTAAGATTGGCGCTCATATGACTATATGCAGTTGCGAGTGCCGTAAAACCCTCTACTATAAAAAAAAAAGAGCTGTAAGTGGAACTGTGAACTTTATTTTACAATGTTGAAAATGTGTGCCTGTCACTGTCAATGTGTTGGAATGTGACAAGTTTGTTGGTGTAAGATTGTGAGCTTAGTACAGTATATATGATATGGTGAATGATGGTCACAAGTTGTTATGCATGCATTATCGTGTCAGGATGTGATGAGGAAGAGGACGGTACTGGTATCTCGTATCGTTTGCTTGTTTGTTGCTGACAGTGACTATAGTCGATAAGACTTACATTCCAAAACATTCATCGTGTTGTGAATAGTGATTATAGTGTCATACACTTGTATTTTTATAAAATGCTTTATTCTGTAATATAGTACAAGGTTTAGAATGAAAATGCCATCTGTCTTATGATGTGTCAAATTTTTCACTCATTCTTGGTTGTGTCTTCATACAATGGTTTGCAGCCATGTTCTTTGAAAGCAATGTTATACTAAAAAATACATGGTTCTGTTAATGAGTTGCGTTTCTTTTCACCCATCAAACAGATGCCTTCTTTCACATTCTGTCCAGCTAATATATGACATCTTGCTACCTTAAAATTACATCGTTCTATCCGCTCAGTACCTACTTTTGAGAAATTTGACGTTGAAAATTTTGAGTTTCACAAGTCAAGCTAATTCGAATAATGCAATTCCTTTGAATATCTTGAAAACAACTTCAAATAATCTTACGATTTTGATAGAGCAGATAGTACATTAATTGGTTTCTGACCTCATGGTCTTAGTAGTATCTCAAAACAGCCAAAAACGTCAGATAGAAATTTGCAATTCTAGGGTAGCGATCTGTTGTTTGTTGTTTGCTCTTTTCTGTTTTCATTGAAAGAGGTTTTCCCTAGCCTTTGGCAGTCAGAAAAACATCAACGCTGGTGGAGTTGGCCCTCAAACTCTCAATTACTTAACACTTTGTCATAGGGAAAGAGGTTTGGTTCCTCTTTAAAAGTGGTCTGTAGTGACAAGTTCCAAAGTACCTTAGAGCAAAAAATATCATTCCTTTGTAGATATGAACATCATCTATTCAATGTCAAAATGTGTCAATAAGCTTTATTGTAATGACGCCGTTTTTTAAAATGAATTTCAGGGGAAAAAAGTTTTCAAATTGTAGTCACAGTTATGTTTATTTGGTCTGTCTTAGATTTATCTAATTTGTTTTGGTTACAAGTCGTGCCTTTAAACACAATGTTTACTGTTTTTAGAACATTGTTGATGCCTTTTCTAAATAAATGAGACAGATTCTATACAATTCCTCTTTGTTTTGGGGGTTTGATGTGTCCGCAGTTTGGCTTTAATTATGTTGGCAGCTCTCTTCCACTCTCTCTCTCTGTCTCTCCGTCTCTGTCTCTCTCTCTCTCTGCCTGTCTGTCTCTCTCTCTCTGTCTCTCTTTCTCTCTCTCTCTCTCTCTCTCTCTCACTCTCTGTCTCACTCTCTCTCTGTCTCACTCTCTCTCTGTCTCACTCTATTTCTCTCTTATGCAAACACACACACACACACACACTCGCGCGCGCACACACACACACACACACACACACACACACGTCTCTCTATTGTACTTGCTGGTCTTTTATTTGGTATAATTGTTTTTCGCTTTGAAACATTTGAATTGCATGGCGTTATTTGAGACGTCATATAGTACGAGAAAAAGGCAGGTTATGAAGTCCTAAAACTTCTTAACGATAACGTTGTTCATGACCTGATGCGTCATCTGCAAGTTAAGGGAGGGAGAGTAGCAAGGAAGAGGCACCGAGCTAAACATCTGTTGGTGGTTTGCGTGTGCTCTGGTGTGGCTTGCTTCTTCTTTTCTATCAAACATCTATCGTCTTTATCTCCCCTCCTTCTTTTTTGTGTTTGTTACTCTCTTGTAACTACTAACACCTCTAATCTTCGGCACTTATATCACGTTATTGTGTTGGAAGTGCCGTAAAACGCTTACTACTCGTACTCGTAAAGCTAGACATCTCACTTCTATGTCTATCGCTAGCCGCGTGATTCGCCTCGGACAGTACTAGTTTGTCCAATGTGTACTCAAGTAAAGAGTAAAAGAGTGCACTTTTCTTTAGGCCTTTCCCAAAGGGGGGCATTAACTTGTTCTTTCGCACAGTAACATTGTCAATTGTAAATGGGCTGATTCATAAATGTCATGTTCAGAACTGCAACAGGGAACTGCAGCTTTTTCTTTCCTAATCCTTACTATCGTCATTTTTCCTCTATTTCTTTTGTATGTTTGTCACACTCTTGTGACCCGCTATTTCCGGGGTGCCTTGATGGTCGAAGCAGACTTTGTGCTGTTGAAGCTAGAGAGGTGAGCAGAGTAAGTCTGATTCCCTGTAAGGACTTCTGTGTTGATATCCATCCCTTGGCGCTCATATGACCTTATGCAGTTGCGAACGCCGTAAAACCTCTACTAAAACTAAAAAAGAGTGCACATTGTACGAAATAATTCTGAGATGACGACAGGGCAACCATTGTTTTAAAACGTTAAATATTTAGACTGAACGATGCATGACAGAATAAAAAGCAAAAAAACCCCAAAAAAACAACCCCAAAACAAACACGAATGCGAGACCACAACAGAATGACACAAAACCCCGACCGTCTTTACAAGAACTTCGGGAACAAATGAAAATGTACTTTTTTATTTGTTCATAAAGATTAAATGCGGGTGGTTGGGGGGTGTTTTGGTGTGGTTTGCTCCTTCTTTCCTGTCAAATATGTCGTCCTTTTCTCCCCTCCTTCTATTTTGGGTTTGTTATTCTCTTGTAACACCTCTAATCTTCGGCACTTATATGACCGTATTGTGTTGCAAATGCCGTAAAACACTTACTAAAAAAAACCTAAAAGAGTTAATCCTCGTCAAGCTGGTCCAATGTACTAAGCCCAGAGAGGATTTTTTAGGAGAGAAAAAAATGGTTAATTTTTTAAAACAAAATACCTAAAGTGTGTATTTCTTCTAGCTTTTTTTCTACCCAAGTATTTAAAATTTGAACTTCGATCAAGATATCTTAAAGTATATTATGCAACCGATACCATAGAAATTAACTAACTGCAATTATAAAGTAAATAAACATAAATATAAACATTTTGGGTTTGATACGTTTAAACAGCTGCCAGACGAAATCAGTAACCGAATGTCATCGTCAAAACGTCCAAGTTGTGCTTTCAGGACAAGACATTGCAACAAAACTACCCCCTTCTCCACATGCACATACCGCGGCGCCTCACTGATCAAAGCCAAAGTTGACTTGAGAGGTAATTTCTCCACAAATAATTTGTTCACGCAAATTATTATAATAATAATAAAAAGCATTTGTATAGCACATATCCCTGCTCGACAGCAAGATCCATTTTATGCACTTTACAATTAATCTGTCCCCGTGATTCTATGCACCCCGCATAATTTAGCAAAATTTGATCATTTTATGCATAATTTCTGATTATTTTCCTTTATCATTCTTTGTTAAAATTAACAGAATCGGATAATTTCATATTTTTGGGCTTAGCTTGCATAATTTCAGATGTTTTCTTGCATAAAATGACGGGGACAGATTAATACCCCAGCAGACCACATAACACAAAGAAACATTCTCAGCTTCCCGGGCAGCTGATTAAGCGTTCCGACACTAACAAACTGACAAGACATTTCACTGTCTATAGCTGGGCACTCATTCCCACCTGGGTGAAGTGAGGAAAATTCGTGTAAAATGCCTTTCCCAAAGACACAACGTCGGGCCCCTAACGGGATTCGAACCCACGACCTTACGGTTTCTTGTTTGAGAGCCTAACTACAAGGCCACCGACGCCACAAAAACAGACTTAAAATAACAGATTGTTTACTCACGGTCTGAGTCTGAGCTGACTGCCGCCACTTTGATCCAAGTATGTGGTCAATCCGGCCATAATTCCTTTCTCAGCCTCATCTTCTCCTGCGATTTCTCACCAACAGAGGCAGGCAGGTGAACGTGTCGTTGAGCTCATGACGATTCCGCGGTCAGATCACGTACATATTTTCTCCCTCACACTGAATCCACGGCGGACCTCCACTACACGTCATCGCTGCTAGAGGCCAAAGAAGGCGAATTCAGAACGAATTTATTACTTACTTACTACTTGGTTTGAGAATAGGCGTCGTTGCAGGCGGCACAATGCCATAGCTGCTCCTCCCTCCTTTCCAGGATCCATGAAAGTTGAAAGGGTCTGCCTTCTGATCGTGCCAGTTAACAGCTGGTTGGATATTCTTCTGACTTAATTGATGTATTGACAACATGAACAAGCTACGCACTTGAGCACATAATCGAATTCTTCTTTCTCAAAATATGGAACATCATAATAATAATTATTGTAATTCGAAACGAATTTGCCTCGGCTCCACAGGATGTATGTATTTTCGACGTTTCACGACAAAAGTCAAGCCAAGACTCCGTCGGGAAATTGTATACACACACAAAACCATTGCTCCAAACACTGCGACGTATAATATTCATGGTGCCCGTAGACTACCGCTCGACTGCTGCTGCATTCAAAAACTTTATCTTCAAATTAAATTTTGAGAACTACTAAAACTTGGGTCCAAATTGAGGTTGCAAGTGCCGCTATCAGTGAGCGTCCCCAGAGCACCAACAATGCGGCTGCTGATAACGAGAGAGGGTTTATCTGGCTGTTTGTGCTACTGGAGAAACTGAGTGACACACTGGGAATGGCTCATTATAGCATCGTGGTGAAATCAGGCGCTCGTCAAAGAAATCGCATTTTTTTGTACTAATGGGCAATTTTTTTTTTTTCAATTTTCTTTGTATGACTCAACACCTTTATATATATCCTTTTAAAACATATTTCGCTTTGGATTTTACTGGAAAAAAGTATGAAAGACACTACAAACGTAAATTTTTAGTTTCCAACGACTCTTAGGCTATGAAATTTACCAAACTTTGGCGGCTATTTTCTCGCTAATTTTACCTCTGAAACCAGGCGATCCTGACCTCCTTCAATCGCAAATATTTCAACTTCTATTCAGCAAAGATGGATATTTTTCTCTCCAAACCGAAGGCAAATGAACAACCTTGTAGATGATACCAATAACCCCACTATTATGCCAAAAAATTGACGAGCGCCTGATTCCACCACGCCGTGACACGCATTATAGGCTGGTGCGTCATGGG